GTTAGGGGCGATCAGGCTGGAAGGCGAGCAGTTAGGGGTGATCAGGCAGGCAGGCAAGTGGTTAGGGGCGATCAGGCAGGCATGCAGAATGGTTAGGGGCAGTCAGGCAGCCAGGCAGGCAAGCAGTTAGGAGCCAGCAGTCCTGGATTGCGAGAGGGATGTTTGACCATTGGTTTAGGCCCTATCCCGCAGGGCCTAAACTGGCAGACATGTGGAATCAGGCCTAAACTGGCAGACATACCCTGTGGGGTCCCAGATTGGGAGAGGGTGCATCTGGGTTGAGGTTCCCCGCCCCCCTGCATGAATTTGGTGCACCGGGTCTCTAGTCCTTATAATAACTACCTTCTACAGATGAATAAACTGAAGCTTTCAAAGTCCAAATAGCTTGCCCAGGGTCTCAAAGCTAGTAAGTGTTAGAACCAAAATTCAAAACCAAGTACTGACTCTAAAATGTGTGTGCTTAACACTTCTTTAAATTGCCTTGTCAGGAAGAAACTGAGAAGTGAAGGATGCTACGAGCTTTTTATTATTTCATGTAATTCTGATCACAGCACTGTGAGGTAGAGGTGTAATTAGTATCCTCCTTTTGTATATAAGGAAACTGAGGCTTAAAGTCAGAATATATTTGAGGTCATATTGCTGGGAAGCAGCAGAATGGGATTCCAAGCTCAGCTGTTTAGTTTCAGAGTCTGCTGTTAACCACCGTTCAGTACCTATCATGTGTTTCTTTCCTCCTGCATTTCACAATTTAGTTGGGAGGAAGGAGTGGTCTGGGAGAGCTAGAGAGAGACAGGAATGTAAACAGGGTGATTGGTGGCATAATAGAAATGTGTATGAAGTGCTTTTAGAACACAGAGGGAGCAATTACCAGATGGTAGAGAAGGGGGAACAGTTTACAAAGAGGGGTGACTGAAATAGAACTTGAACAGTGAAAAGAGCTTACCATGTAGGGCTAGTTACGGAATCAGAGTGGTTAGCAGGCAGTCTCTTAGGAGAAATAATATGACAGTACTAACCTTAGAAAGCATGGAGGAGCTTGGTGTATTAATTGCCTTTTTAATGTAATATCAATTGAATTGTCTAAGTAAAATTGAACATTTGAAATTTAGACTCATGGTTTACCAATACATATAGGAAATTAAGAGTATTTTGAACCACTGATACTTTGTTTTTTTTTATAGCTTACATCTAGTTTTGTATTAGTGTACTGTACTTTACATAATAATGTGCATGATAAAATTATGGCTGATTGAGGTTTTGTAATTATATTTAAATGCAGCAGGGGAACTCATTATTTAAAGGAATACTGAGATGCCTCTAGAGAACAATAAATGAAGAAACATTTTGATCACCTGATTGATTCGGTTTATATATTTGGTTTAGGAGAATTTGGAGCACAATTATGTGTGCTAGTTTCTTATGTGAGACTGAAAGGCAAAAACCACACAGAACTCCCAATTCCCTGTTTATAGCTGCCTGTTCTACATTCTTCCTTAGGCAAGATGTAGTGTTGTTTGTATTCCTGAAATAGGACTGTGTCTCTGAGTGCCTAACTTTGGTCTCCCTGTTCCTAAGTAAGCGTAGTTGCTGAAGTTGTTAAATGACGTTTGAGCTGGCTGTTAAAAGACAGTTTAGCTTTAGGCACAGGGAGATAGGATGGAAGTACAGTGTAGGTGGAAGAAATAGCAAAGGGACAGAATATAGGGTATTGTGCGATATCTGTAGAGCTTCAGCGAGGAAGCCAGTATGCCAAAAGGTGAGCATGGAGAAAGAAGAAAACCAGGATTTGTGTGTCCCATTACATGCCAGGATCTTTACTAAGTGCTTTACATCTGTGAACTCTCTAATATAGATGTGGTTTGCTTATAAATCTTAGAGATGTGGTAAGTCATGTTTGGTAGCTTTTTATTAAGAGAAAGAAAATGTTTGTTTTTTATTTTAAAAATATTCTTTTTAAGAAAAGGAAATGTAATTTCAGAAGTTACAACATTCTAACTAATCATGAAAACCTGAACCAGGCCAATGGGAAACACAGAAGAACAGCAGAAGAGACATTTTAGAAATATTACGGAGGGGAATGGAGGTGGATGGGACTCATTGGTTGTAAAAGGTAACTTCAGGTTTCCAAGTATCTATGAAATTAGTGGTGCCAATAAGATAAAACAGGAGAGGAGGAACAAAGTTTGAAGAAAAAGTATTTAATTTACTTTAAGCATTAATACATGAAACTTACAAAAGCAGTAAGATCAAATGATGTTGCTAAGGAAACTAGAAGAGAAATAAGAGAAAACCCAGGTTGTTTTAGTATAGAGTACAAACCTTCTACTTCTTCATTATGGAAAATTTTAAACTTAATCAGAAATTAAGAGAATAGTTCAAAACCCCGTTATCCATAACCAGATAATTAACTTGTGGCCACTTTGGATCATCTATATCTCCCTGCAATCTCCTCTCCTGATTATTTTGAAACAAATCTCTAGGAATTGGGACTATCCTATCTATAATAATAAAAGCATAATATGCTAATTAGACCAGATGCCCTTCTGGTCCAAGCCCAGGCTGCGAGGGAAGCCTGGGTCCCGGGTGCCAGAGGGAAGCCAGTGCTTGCAGCCAAGGGAAGGAAGGCCTACTCTTGCACGAATTTTGTGCATTGGGCCTCTTGTCCTATATAATAAAAGCCCAACGACTGAACGGCAGAATGACCGGTCCACCAGTCTCTATGACACGCAGTGACCACCAGGAGGCAGACGCTAAACACAGGAGCTTCCCCCTGGTGGTCAGTGAGCTACCACAGTGGGAGCACCGCTCAGCTAACCGGGATGAGCGGCTGCTCCCACTGCAAACCCCAGGCCAACGGGCAGGAACCCGGGCTGCGATCGTCGCCACCTCCTTCTCGCTCCCTGCCTCCTCCTGTGGATACCTGCAGGCTGCGCAGCGCTGCTGCTGGGCTCTCAGAGCTGACCCCGGAGGCTGGGAGGCAGGTTCTTGGCTGCCTGTAGGCCTCGTGGGACTGAGGCCTACTCCGCCGCCTCTCAGTGTTATTGTCCCTGGGCCTGGCCCTGACCGGGTCCCATGGAGAGGCAAGTGCTCCGGCTCCACGGAAGATGCTGGACCAGGGAGCAGATTCTCAGAGGGCAGGTCCACAGCCACTCGGTTGACCAGGATGAGCAGGCTGATCCCCATAGGCCACGCCCCCCACCAGTTCACAAATTCTGTGCACCATGCCTCTAGTAATCTATAAGATTCTAAATGTGTTATTTTCACAGCACCTTCCCTCCTTGACAACCTCTGCCTGAATATTTCCAGAGATAGAAGGCATGCAAGGCAATGAGCTAACTGTGTTCGTTTTTTTATTAGCTCTAATTATTAGAAAGTTTTCTCTTTTATTGAGCTAAAAATCCTAACAGTCTTAGTACTTTGCCAAGGACACACAAGCCCATGTTGAAGTCAAGAAAGGATTTAGACCTCAGAATGTTTTTATATTGGGTTTGTAGTAAACCCTTTTTCTCTAAAGATCATAGTGTTTGCAAACAGTTTTTCTGCTGCCATGTGTTCAGGGTGCTCATAGAGCAGTTTTGAAGACACATCTTAGTCAGAGCAAAAGCTTATTTTAGATCTTTAAAAAAGCTTCTCTCAGAGCCACATATGAGTAGATGGCTTAGCTACTCTTGTGTGTAATTTAACACTATATTTTTTAAATGTTACTGAAGTAATTCACATTTTTTAATTAAATGTTTTTTCTTTTAAAATTTTACTGAAGTATACTAATCATAAAAATTCAGTTCAATTAATTTTTACAAAGTGAACAGAGCAGCATTCAGAACAAGCAATAGAATGTTACCAGCAACCAGGAAGTCCCTCATATGCCACCTACTCACTACCTCGACACTGCTCTGCCTAAGAGTAACTACTATCCTGACTTCTACACCATTTCTTTTGGGTTTTGTTTTGGTTTTGTTTTTTTGTTTCTTTTTGAACTTCATATAAATTGAGTCATACCATATGCACTCATTAGCTTCTTTAGCTTAATAGTGTATTTATGAAATTAATCCATGTGTACTGTGTGGATGTAGTTTATTAATCCATTGTATATATATGTGGAGTGCTTATTATATTTGCTATAGAGTATTTCACTCTGTGACTGACCTCAGTTTATTCCTCTATTGTTGGTGGACTGTTGGATTAGTGCTATTATAAATATCCTTGCACAAATCTTTTGGTGAACCTGCCACGCGTCCAAAATGGCAACCATCCCGCTTGTGTCTACAGACACTTATGGTGTACTAAGGTTGAACATTTGTGCACATTTCTATTGGATATATCTAAGAGTAGGATTGTGAAACCTTGGTTCTTGTCAGGGACCTTCAGATTGGGTTTAGAGTATATGTTCCAGCAGAAAACAGGATGGTAATCAAATCAGCCTCAGGGACTGTAGACCAGGCTCTGGAGTTACATTTGAGTTCTATTGTGGACTGAATTGTATCCTCCAAAATTCCTATCTTGAAGCCCTAACCCTTAATGTAACTATATTTCAAAGGGCCTTTAAGAAGGTAATTAAGTTCAAATGAGATCATAAGGATGGAATCCTAATTCAATAGGACTGGTTTCCTTAAAAGAAGAGGCAATAAACCAGGAATTGTGTGTACAGAAAAAAAAGTCATGTGAGGATACTGCAAGAAAATGCCTGTCTACAAGCTAAGGTGCGAAGCCTCACTAGAAACCAGCTGTGCTGGGACCTAGAGACTCTAGATTTTCTCTTTCTTTGTTCTCAGTGTCCTGCCTTGTCAATGAGGGCATGCCAAAGAGCCAGGAGGTCTGGTGCCGCAGAGAAGGCAACATTTGCTGCCAGTTTGGAGGCATGTAGTAAGCACTGGTTTTGTTGGCCAGTGTTTGGTATTTTGTTTTGTTTTGTGTTGTTTTCCTACAAGTAGGCTTTGTTATTATGCTTTAAACTGTGGTGTGTATTACTCAAAAATTTAGACTTATCTTTATTTTTTCAGGTTTAAGCCATTTTTTCCATTCCAAACCTTGCAAGGATTTGAAGAAGATGAAGAAGATCATATCCATATACAACAATGGGCACTTACTGAAGGCCGTCTTAAAGTTACATTGTTAGAATGCAGCAGGTATGGCCTTTGTTTTGTCATTCCTACATTATGGGAAAGAAAGTACAGTAAAATGTGCTTAGGCAGTATTTGTGTTTATTCTCCCTCTGTGTGGATTTATATTGTATTATCTGTAAATTAATTCATCGTAAATTTTAAAACAGTAGTCCTTTCCACTTTGAAAAAAAAAAAAACATATACATATACATATACACACACACACACACATTCTAATGGGGGGGGGGCATTTATTCTTTACTGATTCCCAAACTTTTTAGATGCATGATACTCTGTTGGCATACCTGACTTATATCTATAGGTGTTCATAGCGTAACAGTTTTGAGAATTGTTTGTGATAATTGAAAATACTCTGGAAGTGAGAAATCAGACTTGGAAACCCCTGTGATGCTTAGAATTTTAGAGCTTTCTGAAAGGATCTGGTCCAGCCTCCTTATTTTATTGTACCAGCCCCATAGTCTAAGCCAGCCGTGGGCAAACTACGGCCCCGTGGGCCGGATCCGGCCCGTTTGAAATGAATAAAACTAAAAAAAAACAAAACAAAAAGACCGTACCCTTTTATGTAATGATGTTTACTTTGAATTTATATTAGTTCACACAAACACTCCATCCATGCTTTTGTTCCGGCCCTCTGGTCCAGTTTAAGAACCCATTGTGGCCCTCGAGTCAAAAAGTTTGCCCACCCCTGGTCTAAGCTGTGTTCATATGTTTCTTGAATTGCTTACTACACTAGCCTTCTTACTTATGTTGACATAAGAACATCCAAACCTGTAGAGAATTTTTATAAGTGTTTATTTGAGCCAAACTAATGACATGCCAGAAGCAAGATCTCAGATGCTCCGGAGAATGACAGTTTTGCAGTCTTTTGTACATTTGAAATGAAGGAGGGAATGTAAGGAAAATTATATGAAGGTGGGAGAGGACAAGAATAATTAACAAGATTATGTGCTCCCTTTAGGGTGGTTATGCTTCTGAGGGGTCTAAAAAAAAAGGGTTACTCTGGCATTTCAAAGGTGTGTTAAACTAAATGCACAAGAACAATGGACAGAGCTTGCTTAAGGCAAAGATAAACCTTTTCATAGGTCTAAGGCTTAGCTATCCACGATGACCTGCCCAGTTAGGAATTTATGATTAGATCACCTGTGAGGTTACTTTCAGTTAGATTTATTGCAGAGCCCCTTTTGTCCACACTTATTTCCTAACAGTGGTTATCAATATAACAACCAGAATGATATTTTCAAAATGCAAGTCTAATTGTCACTCTCTTAATATTCTTTAAAGCCTCCCCCCATTACTCTAGAATACAGACTCAAATCCTTGCCAGGGCCTAAATACCCCTCTGACCTTTCTAACTTCTTTGCTCAGCCCCTCACTCACAGTTCTTCACTTCAGCCACACAGGTCTTCGTAAGGCAAGAGGATGGCAAACTTTCTCTAAAGGGCCAGATTGTAAATATTTTAGGCTTTGTGATTTACATGGTTTCTGTTGTAACTACTCAACTCAGCCTTGTAGTGTGAAAGCAGTCAGAAATAGGCAATAGGTTAACAAATGGGTGTGGCATGGTTGTGTCTTCATAAAATTATATATATTTATGTATAATTATGAATATATATATGACTTTCATAATTTTTATGTGGCATGAAATAACTCTCCCTTCCACCCTCCCCCCAAGCATTTAAAAATGTAAAAACCACTGGTAGCCCACAGGCCATACAAAAATAAGCAGTAAGCTGTATTTGGCCCATAGACAACCACAGTTCACCATTCCCTGCCTTAGATATTTTAAAGTACCAAGGCCCTTGTGTGTACACCCCACTGTTTCTCTACTGAAGGCCCTACCCCATTTTCTGCTCGTTGAAACCAGCCTTTCTTGGTTCACCTCAAAAGCTACATCTTTAATGTGTCTCCTAACCGTTCCAAGTACAAGCATACTGTCCTTTTGCTACATTTCTGTGACACTTGCTTGTACCACTTGTTTGGTACTTATCACTTCTATTTTTATTTCCAACTCATAATAAAAACAAGTGCTTGGATACAGAGGTTATATTTTTGTACCTAATATATTTATGTCCTTGCTAATAAATAGGTTAATTTTGAATACCTTAATAATAATATGATAAATATTTTTTGTTTGTCTTAGAGTGACTCATTATTGTGCACCCTATGTCAGAAAGCTGGTTGAAAGGAATTCTTTTATCAAAGAAAGACTAAATCTGTAAATTTTGTAAAAAGGAACTTCAGTGTACAGTAAAATGACATATGTAATAAAACATGGTTCTACACAAGTCTGAATTTGAAGTAGCTAAGCTAATATATTATGGTAAGCCAAAGTATTAAATATATAATTATCACCCCAATAAATTGAATAAAAAGAAAAAAATAAGTATATAATTATGTTATGTTAATATTTAGGACATTTTTCAAGTGGTCTGTGTCTAAGGAAATTTTGAAGTGATGCTTTCTTTTTTTCCCCCAATGAATTTTTTTACTGATCCACAGGCATCAGAATTATACTAAATGGATTACCTTTTCCAAAATAATCATAGCAACTTCTAACCATTTGAAGGGCAGCTTTGCACAAAATTTCTTGACTATACTATTGTCAATTCCTATCTACCTACTCATCCACTCATCCCCAAATCTGCAAAGATAGCCTTGAAGGAGATTTACTTATTTATTTGTTCATTCATCAAACTTGCCTGTTGTAAAGCTTTGAGAGTGAACTTAGCCAGTGAGGAAAAAAATTAGAAGTATTCATAGAAAACAAACTTGTTTATTGAAAATACTAGAGGCCCGGTGCACAAAATTTTGTGCACTGGGGGGGGGAGAGGGGGTCCCTCAGCCCAGCCTGTGCCCTCTCGCAGTCTGGGACCCCTCGGGAGATAACGACCTGCTGGCTTAGGCCTGCTCCCGGGTGGCAGAGGGCAGGCCCAACCCTAGGTGCAGCCCCTGGTCGGGCTCAGAGCAGGGCCGATTGGGGAGTTGAAGCGCCGCCCCCTGTCATGCACAGAGCAGGGCAGATCGGGAGGTTGCGATGCCACTGTCAGTCACGCTCAGGGTAGGGCCAGTTGGGGGTTGGGGCACCGTCCCCTGTCACACTCAAGGCAGGGTCGATGGGGAGGTTGCGGCGCCACCCCCTGTCACTCATAGAGCAGGGCCAATCAGGGGGTTGGGGCGCTGCCCCCTGTCACGCACAGAGCAGGGCCCATCAGGGGGTTGGGGCACCGCCCTCTATCACCCACAGAGCAGGGCCAATCAGGGGGTTGGGGTGCCGCCACTTTCACACTTAGGGCAGGGCCAATGGGGAGGTTATGGCTCTACCCCGTCACACACAGAGCAGGGCCCGTGGGGAGGGGCGGGGGTTGGGGCGCCGCACCCTGTCACACACAGAGCCACAGGGCGATCAGGGGGTTGGGGAGCTCCCCCATATCAGGCACAGAACAGGGCTGATCAGGGGGTTGGGGCGCCTTCCCCTGTCACGAACAGAGCAGTGTGAATAGGGAGGTTGTGGCTCCGCCCCCTGTCACACACAGAGCCGCAGGGTAATCAGGGGGTTTGGGCGCTGCCCCCTGTCACGCTGATCCCGGTGCCTTGAGGCCTCACGGCTCTGCTGATCCCGGTGCTGGGAGGCATATTACCCTTTTACTATATAGGGTAGAGGCCTGGTGCACGGGTGGGTGCCGGCTAGTTTGCCCTGAAGGGTGTCCTGGATCAGGGTGGGGGTCCCCACTGGGGTGCCTGGCCAGCCTGGGTGAGGGGATGATGGCTGTTTGCAGCTAGTCACACATCCTTCAGGGTGGGGGTCCCCACTGAGGTGCCTGGCCAGCCTGGGTGAGGGGATGATGGCTGTTTGCAGCTGGTCACACACCCTTCAGGGTGGGGGTTCCCACTGGGGTGCCTGGCCAGTCTGGGGCTGAGGGCTGTTTTCAGACTGGGGGTGACTGGAGCTCCCAACCGCTCCTTTTTTTCTTTTTTTCTTTTTTTATTCTGGGCCAGCTTTAGCTTTGAGGCTTGGCTCCAGCTCTTAGGCCTCCGCTGCTGAAAATAGGTTTCTGGCCTTTGCTTACAATGTTGCGATCCTTCTGGCTGAAGCGCGGCGGACTAAAGCTGGTTTCTGGGGTTTTGTTTAGCTTCTATATCTGTTACATAGTTGCTTAGAGTTGCAGCTCAGAGGCCTGCAGCAGCAGGTGGGGAACGTTGGAGTCCTCCGTCACTGAAGCAAGCAAGCCTCATGGTAGTTTCAAGCTTCCTGGCTGCCGGCCGCCATCTTGGCTGGCAGTTAATTTGCATATTGCCCTGATTAGCCAATGGGAAGGGTAGCAGTCGTACGCCAATTACCATGTTTCTCTTTTATTAGATAGGATTAGAGTTATTGTACAACTGGAAACTTTATGCTTTAGGAGGCAACATGAAGTGGAAATAATACCAACTTTTGAATTAGAAAGTGCTGTCTTTACATCCTAGCTGTGTATCCTTACTGTTAGATATTCTTAGACAAGTTTCACATCTGTAAAATGGGCAAGGTTACTACCTTGTCAGTAATTGTGCTCAGAATAGGTAAATAAACCACAGTGGCTACTATATAGAAGGCCTTCAGTACCTGTAGCTTCTATTATTATACCTTAATGTAATCATTATAGTGTTTACCAAGAGGAAAACAGATCTTTAGACAGACCTGTTCTTTTTGCCTAATTGGTTGTGAGAACTGGAATTTGAATTTTATTAACTTATAAGGGTCTCAGACTGTAAAGAGATGTTCTTTTTTAATTATCTGAAGTAGAGTTTTGAACATCCCAATTACAAGTTTGGGGGTGGAAACACAATTTTGTTTATAAAAATTGGTTCTAACTGCATTTTTTTGCATTGAACTAAAGTTGATTTTTAAAGTTTCCAATGACCTCAATTTATGTATTTGTAGTTTTTCTATTAGAAGATTTAATTATTGCACATTAATGTTCAATCATATTGTTAAAAACTGTTTTTAAATTTGTAATTTATAGTCTTAAAGGGTTTGAAGTATTTTGCAAAGAAAACAATGCCCATGTGCAATTAAGTAGAAAAGATAAATTAAAAACAACCATACAGGGAATAGAAGATCAGTTTTCTGGCAGCAGAGTAAACTTAATGGATAACTTAGCCCTCATTCTCTGATAAACTGTGCATGTTCTTTAGGAGAAAAAAATTTGGCCCCAAATTCTAGGAGGGATTTGTCATATAATCTTTCTGTAAAAGACATTGAATGAAGTAATGAATACATTTTCTTTTCTTGTTTTTCTTTGGCTGGTTTTATCAACCAGTTATATTTTTAAAACAAAGATTATAGTCAGTGAAAGCAAAGCCTATACGGTTTTGTGGTGTGAGAGTTCTGTACTCAAAAGTGGTATATTTAGGATACAATCTGTCCTAATTATAGATAGAAGATTCTAATTAAGGTCATTTCTTCAGTGAATCACACTTGCACTATTCTAAAGCCTGTATTTTCTCAGCAGCTTTTGGAATGCCTGTTTTACTGGGTTCCAAAAATACATCACTTTAAAAAAAATGTGTAATGGTAACACAAATACAGAAAACTACAGCAGTTGACATTCTACTCTATTACCAAGATCCTTACCTTATTCCCCAATTAATCTATTATCGGCACAGACTCATAGATTCCTGTATTTTTCAATGATTATAATTCTTTACTATTCTTAATTATTTTGTTGTGAACTGTTCTTGATTTGGCCACTAGGTACCCCTTCAAACTTGGCTCTGTATGCTTGTGACATGAGCCTGTCTTTTTTTTTTTTTCTTTTTTTTTAGCTCTTCATTACTTTCTGGTATAACAAGCTGTTCCAGGTTTATTTTGTATCTTTGCCATAGTCCTAGAATCAGCTATTTTACCAAAGAGCCCTGGTTCCTTTTAATAGAGAATGATATTAAAAATCAAGATCTGGATGTTGGGTTGTTCACTGCTACTTCATATACTCAGAGGTCCCTTCAGCGGACAGAGTTATGAAATACATATATGTATAGACACTTATACATATATGCATACACATACACAATTTAGAAATCATAAGCTCACCCAATATTTCCAATTCTAGTTTATCCTAGAGTTGTTCCTTGCCTTGGTTCATTCTTCTTCCTCCCATATTTTTATATCCTCTGAACCCTAGCTCCAATAACATCACTTATACTCATTTGCTCAGTTCTATAATAACATCTCAAATAGTTGCAGAATTGCTTTATTACAAGTACAGAAACATACTTACTAAAAGAAATTCAGGGTTTATTTGCAGTCTCCTCTGCACTACACAAGATTGAGGGTGTATGGTCAAGTACTGTACAGTCATATGCTGCAGAGGGACATTTTGGTCAACAATGGACCACGTATATGATGTTGGTCTCATAAAATTATGATGGAGCTCAGTTTCCTATTTAAAAATGGAAGGATATGAGGTTCCGGAGGAATTTTTTTTCTCTGATGGGAGCAGTATCTGCGGGGCTTGGCAATAGATTCCCTCTCATTTAGAGCACCTCAATTTTTTATGCAGAGATTACATCCCAATCAGGCAGCCACTGACCTCTTTTAACTCAGAGGAGTTACTACATATTCAGGAAATAGAAAGAATAGATTTGGGATATACTTTTGGTGTGTGAAGGACTTAATGTTCTGGTTTCTTTTTTGATATCTCAAAAGAGATTGTCACCTAAATTGTAAAACTTTGGGGGGAAAATAGGCTTTTAAAATATTTTAAGTGCTGGAATTTAAAAAAAGCAACAAAAAATTGCCTTTCCAGATCTAGCTTGATGGTCCTCATAATGCATTGCTATAAATTCCTGTTGAGGCTTAAGGTCCTGAACAAGGACACAGATCCACAGGATTTTCTGTCATTTTGTGGGTTGGTGGTATCCTTTGAAGCACAACAATATTAATTTCAGGATGTCCCATTTATCTATTTTTTAGTCCTATATTTAGAAACCATTGTCTAATCCAAAGAACTATTGCACAATCCAAGAATTGTTTTTTCTTGTTCCTGAATCCTGAAGATTTAATATCTATTGGGAATTTGGAAACTGCTAGACTTCTCTGCACAGTAGTCAAGGCCCTTACTTAGGTACTTTGCTCTTTTGAACAGATGGTGGCAGCAAAGCTTTGGTAAATGAAAATTCTCATTTTCTTAAACTTAGTATTTTATAATTCTGAATCTCCTTATGTTTTTGGCAGTAGGTTGTTGAGTACTGTTTAAATTTCCTTTTAAGATTAAAATTTATTTAAATTTATGGATTTCTTTTTGCCATGATTTTGTTCAGGCTTTTTAGCTCATGAAGCCAGTTTGTGAGGCATAAACATGATTTGCTTGAGGTCTCAACCTTAGGAAACAGTTTTCTCATATTGCTCTGATGTGTTTTATCCATTTTTCTTTCATTATCTTACTCCTACCCCCATGATATTCATGTAGAGGTAAAGTTTGGAGTGGTAATCAAGATGTTGATTAACAGCTAAAGTTGTTCTCAAGCTTACTACTAAAACATATTGGCAGACTTAGGTTCTGATTTAGAAGATAGATAATGTAGAAGTTGTTGGACCATGTAGGTAACATTTTATCCTCCAATAATAAAAACTGCCTAATGATCTCAAGATTGGACCTGCAATTTCCTTTTAAAATCTGAATATTAAGCAGTAAAATTAGGTGATGCTGTTATTCCTTGATAATTGTTTTCAAGATAATAGAAATAAAAAACATTTATTGAGTACTTAGTATTTGTTAGGCATTATGCTAAATGCCTTGTTTTCTTTTACTCTTACAACGGCTTTAAGAACTACATACTGTATTTCCCCTGAATTGTTCAAATGAAGAAATGGGCTTAAAGAAATTCAGTCACATTAGTAGATGGAAGTGTGTGTGTATTTGTGTTCACAAGCAACTTTTTGTACTATATCTCATTAATAGAAATTACTTTCTGTTTGATTTAGCCGCTGAAAAACAACTTGTCCTAGAATTTCACCTAACTTTAGCTTTACTTCACTTTTCCACTAGAGGGTATACCAAGTATTTGATTTAAGTTTTTCTGTTACCAAAATTATAATAGTAACAGTAATTTATTACTTCTTGGTATAATGATTTGAAAGAAAATTTTTAATGTACATAACTGGTACAATAATCTTGTTTTATTTTTATACTGCAGGTTACTCATTTTTGGATCCTATGACAGAGAGGCAAATATTCATTGCACACTTGAGTTGAGCAGTGGTGTTTGGGAAGAAAAACAAAGGAGTTCTATTAAGACGGTAAAATTGATTTGCATTGTTTTAAAGTTTGTATTCTATAAGCATGCTTTTATTAATATTTCTATATTCTTAGTTATTTTTGGTCATGTGCAAATAATTATGAACAGCTTTTATTCATCTTTTTATAATAAAACATCAGTAATGAAATGGATCCCATAAAACTATAGTATTCAGATTGCTTGCTTGCATAAGATATCTAACCTAATTTTCCTTCTGTACAGAAGAAGTGAGGGCAGGTGTGTTTGAGTAACAGAAAGAAGGCTAGTCTAGCCATAAGTGAGGTGGAGTCATACTTAGAGCATGGCAAGGATTTTGGATTTTATTCTTTGTGGTGGGATAGTTTTAAGATAGGGAGTAACAAGATCTTGTATACATTTTGTAAAAAAAAAAACATGTTCTCCCTGTATACAGAAAGGATTGTAGGAGGACGAGAGTAAACCTAGTAGAGATCAGGAGGCATTCAGGGGAAGGCATTCAGGAGGTGGTAGCTGAGGAAATGGAAAGAATAGATTTGGGATATACTTTTGGTGGGTGAAGGACTTGATGTTCTGGTTTCTTTTTTGATATCTCAAAAGAGATTGTCACCTAAATTGTAAAACTTTGGGGGAAAAATAGGCTTTTAAAATATTTTAAGTGCTGGAATTAAAAAAAAAAAACAAAAAATTGCTTTGTACTCAACATGTTTTAATTGGACTTGTTGGGTTCTTTGAGTTCTTAAATAAATAAAAATTGTCACTAATTTTTTTCCAAATTTGAGTTGGTATTTCTGAATGTTTCCCATAGAAGTTTTAATAGGAATTATGATACATTTCTTGGAATTTGCATAAATCTAGTAGTTTATTAAAGATTTAGAGCATTTATCAAAATGTTGTCTACAGAATTGCTATATTAAGCCCGTGAAGTTGTGCATTGGAAATAAAATCCCAGGATTTTATGTCTGAGGTTGCAAAAAAATTTATGCCATAAAAGAACATGTAGTCTTTCTTGATTTTTAAGAATAGTTATTTCATATACTAAGCATATATTGAAATATTATGCATTTGGTAATAATAAAACTCCAGAATGCTTCTTGGACTTCTCAAACTTCTCTGTCTTTTTAAATATTAGATCTATTTAACACTAACTTCTAGTCTTTTTAAATATTGGATCTATTTAACACATCAAAAGGTTTTTGTAGAAATAAATTATAGTTGTATTCTTTAAAGATGTATTTAATAACTTATTTAGCTGTTTCTATCACATTGAGCTCTTGGTAGCAGTATAGCCAATATTTAGGAAAACTATTTCTCTATTATGTCTTCAGTATATTGGTGGATAGGTACTTTTAAAGTATGTTTACATAGTTGTTTAATAGTAGTAGTAATGTGCTTTTTGGTATTTCTAGAATAATATATTATTCTTCATAGCATTTTTTAAAATAGTCACAACTCTTTTTTTAAATAGGCCCCTAAGCATATTGACTTTTGAAGGTTATGTGGTATTTTTGTAGCTGTATCCTTGACTTTTAAATTGTTTCCAGTGTCTCCATGTAATAACTGTTGTGTATACCCTTATATAACATTGAGCAGTGTGAAATTATTTTGGAATAAGTAGAGTAATTTTGATCAGGGTGGGAATGTAGAGGGAAGTAAAGCTGGAAAGAGGATGGGCTGACCCACAGAGTTTGAATTTATAAAAGTATTTGGGAGCTATTGAATATTTTGAACATGAAAATGACATGGTCAAAATAGTGGTTTTTAGGAAAATTCTCCTCCTTTTTGGTGGTTGTGCATGCCTTAACTTTAAGTTACATCTCAGTCAATTTGAAGCAGCTCCCCAGAGGGATAAAATAACCAGATTTACAGTTTGTTCTGAAATATATAAATACATGAAAAAGCATTATTGTTTTGTCTGGGTATGAAATAGTCATAACTTGCCATTGCTATTGGCATTTTCAGTTTCCCTTATATCAGATTAGACAGCTTTAATATTTTATAACAAAAATTAGTAAGACATTAATCTTGAGTCATAATTTTAGATCTTAGCACATGTCATAGCTAGTTTTGGAAAAATAATTTCTAGGTTACTAATTACATCTGGTGTCGAAAATGTCAACAACAGTTAAGTGTCTTCAGGCATTAAATTACATATGTCTGAATTTAATAACCAGGGAGGAGAATTAGAGTGCTCTTCAAGACTACATAAAACATTGTTGGATAGGATTTGAAAATTTGGAATATATTATAAATTTGGATGGAAAATGTATCATTAAAAATAAGTATGCTAAAGTATTCAATGCTTTTGGAAGCTATCTTTATATATACAATTTTGGGTTTAAATTAGTTTTTTTAAATGTTAAAATTTACTCAGTCACTAATTTTAGTGTACAGAATGAAAGAAACTTAATTTCTTTCATATTTTAAGTATATCTTTTAGTTTTTAAAGCATTATAATGTACTTTATCATGCCATTAATAGGGAAGATCAATAACAGATGGCAAGCTTTAGTTTTGTAGTACTTGCACAAATGTTGGGGGTGGAGATGGAGCAGTTGTAATGCATTAGCTGGAAGTATTAGCAAATCTAATGAATGTGGCTTAAGCAAAAAAGAGACTTACTTGTCTTGTGTGATAAGCTCTTAGTTAGTATATAATCAAGGAGCTGGCTCTTACTGGCTTCCTCCTTCATCATCCTTAGCATGGGGGTTTTATTCTCATGGTTGCAAACTATCCGGTGCACCCCTAAATATCCACCTTTCAAGAAAAAGGATGAGATAGAAGGCATGCCAGAGGCACATATCAGTCAGGTTTTGTCCTTTTAAAATTCTTTACTGGAAGCTCCACCCAGGGATTTTGACTTATATCTCATTGGTTAGAACTAAGTCATATGGTCTCCACTACCAGCAAGGAAGTATGGGGACTCGCTTTTGTTTTTCAGCCTTTGTAGAAAAAGAAGTTAAGAGAAAAGGGTTATGAATACATTTTAGGTGGTCAGTCCACAGTCTGTCATACCACAAGAAAAAATTTAAATCTGTTTGATGAATTTTTGTTTGTAAGGGGATTTTTTTTCTTAAATTGAGTATCAGGGAATATTGAAAAGAATAATTTAACAAATAGCTTGCATAAATCCTACTTTCTACCTTATTAGAAACCCAAGGCAAGTTTGGGGCAAAATCAGACACTTGGTCACTGCCTTGCTTATTTCACTTGCAAAATAAAAGAGTTCATAGGATAAATGAGGTACTTGTGTTTATTCTTTAAAAATAATAAGCAAAGATTCCTCATGAGAATCCCATTAAATGTGATAGCTGAGGTGCAAATAAATTAGATATTAGGCTTAAACAAACATTAGAGAATTATCTTGCAAGAGGTGACAAAGTCAATACTAAAAATGTGCTCACCTTCACCAAAAGAGACAAGGCAAGTTTATTTTCATTCTATAGCAATATGCAGGTTTGGTGATGATAATTTGCTTCCCTTTCACTAATGAATAAATTTCAGGTTCAGATTTTTAAAAATGTTCATTTCAGGCAATGATTAATATTTCAGTTGGAAACTCTATAGACAACTATATATCTCTAGAATTTATGGTGCCTATCAAATAAAATTCATAGTGCTTATCAAATAAAATTCACAGTAAATTAATCTGACATATTAAAGGATACATAATCATTACTGTGTGAATGCTAAGACAAACAGATCATATAAATATCACATAGACACACAGTTTTAAATAGATCCTGAGTGTTACTTTCCTCTGAATCTGGGAGTTCTGAGGTAGCAGGAAAGGCCTTGGGACCAGCTGGCACCCAGCTGTTCTGTCTAGCTCTTTCCCTTGTTCTCCATTTTAAATAAAACGATGAAATGAGTTTTAAGTTTAAAAACAAGCTTTTTAATGTTCATTTTATACTGAGCCTACTCCCTTTGCACTCAGACATTTGAAAGCAATTGTCCTTTATAAGAGACTAGTCTTTCCTCCTGTGATTAGAGACAGAATGTTAAAAATCCAAATAACTCTTAAGTCAGTACATTGGCATAAATATGTTACTATCAAAGAAGAAGGAAGAATATGGACTTCTTCTTGTTCTGAAATGGAGACAGAATTAGAGAAATATCTTTTGGGTTCTTGGGATATAGTACACAGTGGATGGGCAGAAGAGATGCTGAAACCGGCATGTGTTCAGTATAAATAGAAGCAGAAGCACTTCAGGTTTGTGTAGCTTAATATTCAGGTACCAGAGGGAATTGTGGTGAAAGGCATTAGATGTCATGATATTATCAGACCTGCCTGAAAAATAAGAAGTAATAAATCCCTGAAGGACAGTCAGCTAACAATTGGGGAGAATTTCTAAATGGTAATTTGGAACTCTTAATTAGAATGAGTATATTCCTTTCAGAGGGTTATAGGGTATCAGTTGGCAACTTCCGATTGGCAATTTGAAATGGCAACTGCTAAGGGCTTAATTTTTTAATTTTTTATAGCAAAGGTGGAAATTTATTGAAGAACAAGTACAGACTCCCACGTGGGGTAGGGGAAAGAGTTCCCTGCTAAGGGTTTTAAATAGGGTCAGCTGTACCCAAAATTATGAAGTCAGAAGAATTCATCTCCTAGATTCTAGACTTTATGTTTTTTAAAAATATATTTTTATTGATTTCAGAGAGTAAGGGAGAGGGAGAGAGAGATAGAAACATGAATGATGAGAGAGAACCATTGATCAGCCGCCTCTTGCACATCCCCTACAGTAACCCCAGGCATATGCCCTTGACTGGAATCGAACACAGGACCCTTCTGTCCGATGGTCTATGCTCTTTCCACTGAGCCAAACCAGCTAGGGCTGGATTTTATCTTTTTGTTAGACTCTGGCAGCACCTTTCTTTCTCTCCACTCTTGCTTCCCTCATTTTTGAAAGGATCTGATTCTGAAGGAGAAATAGTTTATATCAGGCTTCCTTCAATTTTTTTAACACACTCTTACAATTAAAGAGCTATTTGAGGAGATGATGCCTAGAGTATGACATATTTT